AAAAAAAGATAGTTGTGGCTTCAATGAACTTTCAGTTTAATAAGGAATAAATGATTATATTACAAAGTAGAATATAATGATTTTAAATGTGCTTTTAAAAGGTTACATTATATTGGAATTAAATGGCCAATTGATTTTTGACAAAGGCGCCGTTCTAGTCCATTCTGTTGCTAACAATAACAAGACCTGAAATTAAGTACTTTATAAGAATAGAGTTTGGGGCCAGTCCATGGTGTAATAGTAATTAAGGTGGTTGGGTCCCACATGGCCAACTGCATGGGTCAAGTTCCAGACCAGAGACTTGAGAAATACACTGGGTGCGTGTGTGTGCTCGAACTCCTGAAAGGAAGAAGAAATGGAGAAGGGACTGCAGTCTTTCCATGCTCTATGTGCTTTCTCACTTTCTCTCCAGAGAGCACACACATAATGGCAATAATTAAAAATAAATAAATAAGAATAGAGGTTTATTCAGGTTTATTCAGCTCATGGTTTCTGAGATCCAAGGTCCGGAGGCTGCACATATGAAGCCCTACTTTCTGGTGGGGTGTCCTAAAACATCTCAACATGGTGGAGAGCAGGAGAGCAAGCAGAACAGAGAATGCCTCTCTGTGTCTCATTCTCACTCCTTAGAAAACTACCAGGATTCAATCATGGGAACCTCACCCTGATGCCTAATCACATCCCTAAGGCTCCACCTTTCAACACCATAATTAAACTGTCTCCATCCTCCTAACACTATTACTATGGCTTTTAATTTTTTAAGGTTTTTGTCATACAGCATGTGCACTTACCAGAGAGAGACAGAGAGAAAGTGAGAAATTGCCCCGGTAGGGGGTATAGCTACACTGCAATGACTTGTCCCCCATTCTCCTCTCAGGATTCTGGGCATGTACTCACAAATGCTTGGTGTGATTTTCAAGCCACCAGGTCTAGGACTTGAATCATGATCAACCATATGGGAATTCAGTACCTTAATAACCATGCCACCTGCTGACTCCATGGCTCTCAATTTTAACACAGGAATTTTAGAGGGATACACTCAAACCACAACACTTTACCAGCAAAAGAATCATCTTTTCAATGAATGATGCCAGAACAAGTTGGTGCAAAACAACAAGTCTTCACATTTATCTCACACTATATACAAAAGTTAAATTCAAAATGGATCATAGACGTAAAGATAAGAGTTAAAATTATAGGGCCAAGTGGTAGCATACTGGTCAAGAACACAACTGGACTAACAAAACTATAAACAATGGTATTAGTGGCACACACATATTATTTCACAGTGTTTGTGGCTTGGGAATCAGGATATGGCTTAGATAGGTCCTTTGTTTTAAGGTCTCATAAAGACTTATCTGAGTCTCAAGTGGAGAAGGACTTACTTCCAATGTTACCTGGCTGTTGACAATATTCAGTTCCTGTGGGTTGTCATACTGAAAGGCTAGGTTTCTGCTGGTGTAGGCTGGATTCTACCCTCAGCTCCCTGCCACATGGTCTTCCCAGTGCAGGTACTTGGCTTCCTCAAAGCCAGCAAAGGAAATAATCTCTTCTAGCAGGATGAAGTTAACTATCTTGTGTAAGTTACCATTATACGTGATCATGTATCCAATCTTTGCTGTAGTTAGAGAGAAGTAATAGTTCCCACCCACACTCAAAGGACAAAAAATTTTTCAACAGCATGGTAACTTATGTACTCACACTCAAAGGATAAAGACTTATCCAACAGAATGGCAGTGTGTAGGCAAACCTTAAAGTCTGACTACCATATGACTCAAGAGAAATGAAACATATACCCACACAAAAACTTGTAAACATCTTCCTGGAAGCTTTATTTATATTAGCCACGAGTTGAAAAATCTCAAATATCTATCAAAAGGTAAATGGAGATTTAAATAGTGGTATATCCATACAATGGAACACTCAACAATGAAAAGAAATAACCAACTGATGCTTGTAAAAACATGGATGAATTTCAAAATAATTATACCGAGTGACAGAAGCCAAGCGAATGAGAATAAATATTTATATAAAATCTAAGAAAATGAAGTACTGGCATAAAATAGATTAGTGGTTGCCTGGAAAAAGTGAATACGGGAGGTACTAGATTACCAAGGAATCTATGAGAAGATTTCTGCAATGATAAATGTTTATTATCTTGGTACGGTGATGGTTTCACAGGTGTATACATATGTCAAAATTTATCTTGTGGGAACCAGCAGTTAGCGTAATGGCTATGTCGCTGGACTCCCACGTAGTCGACCGCGGTTCGTGTCCCGGACCCGGTGGCTTAAAACTCACGCCGGGCACGTGTGCGTGCGTGCCCAAGATCCCGAGAGGAGAATGGAGGAGAAGGGATTGCGGCGTGACCATCCCCCCTGGGGGGTGATTTCTCGCTTTCTGTCTCTATGTCTCTCTCTGTCTGTCTGGCGAGCGCACGCGCCCTACAGTAAAAATCTCTCCAAAAAAAAAAAAAAAATTTATCTTGTAACACTTTAAGTATATGCAGATTAATGTATCTTGAAGCTGCTAAATTATATTTCAATAAAGCCATTTAAAAAAAAAAAGAAAAAAGACTTCTAGGGCCAGCAGGTGGCATAGTGGCTAAGGTGCTTGACTTCAACATGGCCATCATGTTTTGAGCCCTAGACTCAGCAGCTTGAAAATCATACAGGGCACATTTGCACGCAGGCCCAAAATCCTGAGAAGAGAATGGAGGAAAATGGACTGCATGGCATGGGGGTGGGGGGGTGGGGCGTGGGGAGGAATTTATTGTGGAGAGCAGTCAATCTCAGAAAATATGTGACCTTCAGACACATGAAGAAATGGGCTTCATAGCTTCCCTGAGCTACTTTAGCAATGGCTATTGAGAGTATTTACATATGAAAACGCTATCTGCCTGTTATCAGTTATAGTCCTGTTGTCTATACCCAATACTGCAGGGCATTATGAGGCTAAAAGAAGCCACATCTGTTTTATCAGATTTGGCCCCAAAAAGATCAAAGATATGACTTGGCGCCAGTGTTTTCACATCTTCAGGCGATTTACATCCAAAAAAACTGGCTTTGCATTCCATTTCCTCTTACCTCATTTTCTGCTCTTCAAAAGTATAAACCTGAGGTTGGTTCCTGGTCACAACTTCTCCATCAGAGAAGTTAAGCCCACCAGATCCTTGCTTTCCTATACTTGTGTGTCTTTGTGTGTTTGTTGTTGCATTTCTTTCTTGTTTTTTTTTTTTTTTTTTTTTGGGGAGGGCGCATGTGCTCACCAGACAGAGAGAGACAGAGAGACAGAAAGCGAGGAATCACCCCGCGGGGGTATGGCCACACAGCAATCCCTTCTCCTCCATTCTCTTCCTGGGATCTTGGGCATGCACGCACACGCGCCCGGTGTGAGTTTTAAGCCATCGGGTCCGGGACGCGAACCATGGTCGACTACATGGAAGTCCAGCGACACAGCCATTACACTAACTGCTGGTCCCCTTGTTGCATTTATTTCTAATCCACAGCATTCCCCACTGAAAAAAACATGTTCAGTAGAGCAGGTCCCGGCAATTTCTCACTTTCCCTCTCTCTCTCTCTCTCTCTCTCTCTCTTTCTCTTTCTCTCTGTGGCTCTCTGATGAGCACATGTGCCCTGTGACAAAAAATTAAATAAATAAAATAAATGAATATCCTGTTCTAACAAGAGAAACATATCATACCAATACTCCCAGTTAAAATGATAATCTTTCAATTGTTTACCACTGAATAAAATTGATGTCATGAAAAATAAGAGACTATCTTAATTGAACAAAGGATTCAGGACAGTCTATGTGGATGAAGTAAAATTTAAATTCATTTTTAAAGACAGAAAAAAGATGTTGATGTGTAAAGATAGATAAAAGGGCATTTCCTACAAAGAAAGACTAATTCACTAATGTGTTTATTTATTTTTTGGAGAGTTTTTTTTTTGCTATAGGGCACGTGTGCTCGCCAGACAGAGAGAGACAGAGTGACAGAAAGCGAGAAATCACCCCCCAGGGGGGATGGTCACACCGCAATCCCTTCTCCTCCATTCTCCTCTTGGGATCTTGGGCACACACGCACACGTGCCCAGCGTGAGTTTTATTCCACCCGGTCCAGGACGCAAACCGCGGTCAACCATGTGAGAGTCCAGCGACATAGCCATTACGCTAACTGCTGGTCCCTGTGTTTCTTTATTTAATAAGCATTCATCAGGACCAACAGTTGGCATAATGGCTATGTCACTGGACTCCCACATAGTTGACCACAGTTCGAGTCCCGGACCCAGTGGTTTAAACTTACGGCGGGTGCGTGTGCATGCGTGTGCATGCCCAAGATCCTGAGAGGAGAATGGAGAAGGGATTGCAGCATGGTCATCCTCACCGGGGGATGATTTCTTGCTTTCTGTCTCTTTGTCTCTGTTTTTCTGGCGAGAGCATGTGTCCTATGGCAAAAACCTCTCAAACAAACAAAATATGTTCTAAGGGGGCCAGCAGGTAGCATAGTGGTTAAGCTGCAGGACTCCCCACATGGCTCATCGCAGTTCCAGTACCAGACCTGCAGCTTATTGTGTGTGTGTGTGCGTGCGTGTGTGTGTGTGTGTTTGTATGTGCACACATGCCCAAAATCCCAGGAGGAGAATGGAGAAAAAGGAACTCAGAGGTGGCCACCCCTGGAGGGTGATCTCTCACTTTCTCTGTCTCTCTATGCCAAGTTCAGGCACCCTATGACAAAACGTAAAATAAAGTTAAAAAAAAAAAAAAGGAAAGGAAGGGTGGGAGAGAGATAAAGAAAGGAGAGAGAGAGGGAAATAGAGAGAGTGAGAGAAAGAAAGAAGGGCTAGCAGGTGGCGTGGTGGGGGGGGGCGCTGGATTCCCACGTGACCAACCACAGTTTGGTCCCGGATTTGGCAGCTGCTTTTTTGCTTTCTCCCTCTCTCTCTCTGTCCCTCTCTGCTCATATTAAAAAATAATAATAACAAGCGCTTCTGGCCAAGATGTCTGACATGGAAGATGATTTCATGTGTGATGATGAGGAGGACTACGACCTAGAATACTCTGAAGATAGTAACTCTAAGCCAAATGTGGATTTGGAAAATCAGTACTATAATTCCAAAGCATTAAAAAAAAATGACCCAAAAGCAGCATTAAGCAGTTTCCAAAAGGTTTTGAAACTTGAAGGTGAAAAAGGAGAATGGGGATTTGAAGCACTGAAACAAATGATTAACTTCAAGGTGACAAACTTTCCAGAAATGATGAATAGATATAAACAACTATTGACCTATATTCAGAGAGCAGTCACAAGAAATTACTCTGAAAAATCCTTTAAATTCTATTCTTGACTATATCTCCATTTCTAAACAGATGGATTTACTGCAGGAAATTTATAAAACAACACTGGAAACTTTGAAAGATGCTAAGAATAATAGACTGTGGTTTAAAACAAACACAAAGCTTGAAAAATTATATTTAGAATGAGAGGAATATGGAATGCTTCAAAAAATTTTATATCATTTACATCAATCCTGTCACACTGATGATGGAGAAGATGACCTGAAGAAAGGTACACAATTGTGAGAAATAAATGCTTTGGAAACTCAAATGTACACAGCACAATAAAAGAACAAGAAACTTGAAGCACTCTATGAACAGTCACTTCACATCAAGTCTGCCATCCCTCATCCACTGATCATGGGAGTCATCAGAGAATGTGGTGGTAAAATGCACTTGAGAGAAGGTAAATTTGAAAAGGCACATACTAATGTTTTTGAAGCTTTCAAAAATTATGATGAATCAAGAAGTCCTAAACAAACCACTTACTTAAAATATTTGGTCTTGGTAAATATGGTAATGAAATTGGGAATAAATTCATTTGATTCACAGGAGGCCAAATCATACAAGAATTATCCAGAAATTCTGGCAATGATGAATCTAGTAAGTGCCTATCAGAATAATGACATCATTGAATTTGAAAAGGTTCTGAAAAAAAATCACAGCAACATCATGGACGATGTTTTCATAAAAGCATACAAAGAACTTTTGCAAAAAAAACATCAGAACACAAGTGTTCATAAATAGAATTAAGACTTACAGAAGAATACAAATACCTTTTATTTCTAAGGAGTTAAACATAGATGTAGCTGATATGGAGAGCTTGCTGCTGCAGAGCATATTGGGATAACACTATTCTTTTTTTTGAGAGGTTTTTCACTATAGGGCGCGTGCGCTCGCCAGACAGACAGAGAGAGACATAGAGACAGAAAATGAGAAATCACCCCCCAGGGGGGATGGTCACACCGCAATCCCTTCTCCTTCATTCTCCTCTCGGGATCTTGAGCACTCACACACATGCGCCCGGCGTGAGTTTTAAGCCACCAGGTACAGGAGGTGAACCGCAGTTGACTACGTGGAAGTCCAGCAACATAGCCATTACGCTAACCGCTGGTTCCACACTATTCTTTTTAAATTATTTAATTTTATTCTTTTTTTTGGACAGGTTTTTGCTACAGGGCCTGTGCACTCGCCAGAGAGACAGAGATAGACAGAAAGCGAGAAATCATCCCCTGGGGGGGATGGCCATGCCACAATCCCTTCTCCTCTATTCTCCTCTTGCGGGATTTTGGAGATGCACACATACCCGACGGGCGTGTGTTTAAGCCACCGGTCCAGGACTTGAACTGTGTTCAACTCCATGGGAGTTCAATGACCTAGCCATTACGCTAACTGCTGGTCTCCATTCGTTCATTTTAATTTGACCAGAGAGAGAGAGAGAAACAGAGAGAGGGAAAGTGAGAAAGCAAGCTACAAGGTACAGGACTCAAACCCTGGACAGCCATGCGGGAGTGTCAAGCACCTTAACCACCACGCCACCTGCTGGTCCCAGGATAAAACTATTAATGGACAAATAGATCAAGCCAACCAACTCCTTGAACTAGATCATCAGAAGAGGGGTGGTGCACAACATACTGCACTACATAAATGGACCAATCAACTAAATTCTCCCAACCAGGCTGTAGTCAGTAAACTGGTTTAACGGAGAACAAGCTTTTACAGACGTACTTAAGGCAACAGTGCAGAGATGTAATCCTTAAAAGAACTGGGAATGGCAAAACTACTGTCGGTTGATGTGTCCTGAAAATTATTGGAGTTATGGCAGAAGTGCTTTTTTGATCAACTGGTTTGTGTTTTGCTGCTGCATTTATCCCAAGAAAAAACAGCTTTAATCTCCAGAAGAAAACCAAAATATCATGGGATTTATGCTGTATTGACATCTTGCCCTAAACACACAACATCATAGTAATTTGTCATGGGCAACATGACCAGAGAGAAGATTTTTGTCATGATTTTAAATACACTGACACGCTACTGGTGGTTAAATTTAAACATGTTTTACCTGCAGAAATTCTCTCACAAATAACCTGCAATAACTTGAAATGCATACCCTTTTGAACACTTCCTTTTCTCATGTATAAATTAAAATGTTTGCTGCATTTTGCAAAATGTCAATTCTCCAAAAAGGTGTCCGTATATTCCTGTACCTGCAGTGTAGTAAAGGTTTAGATGAAACCCCATAATTATAGTGGCATACTGTCACTTAGGTTTCAAGCAGCAGAATAAACAGTGCAGCTCCGAAATTGTAGTTTGGT